TTCAGCAAAAAATGGAGAAGCCTACAAGGACATGGTACATTTATTCTTTTTTTTTTTTTTGAGTTGGAGTCTCACTCTCTTGCCCAGACTGGAGTGCAGTGGCCGCCCCCGGCCACTGCAGCCTTAACTTGCTGGGCTCCGGTGATTCTTCCGCCTCAGCCTTCCAGGTAGCTGGAACTACAGGCGCACGCTATCACACCTGGCTAATAATTTTTTGATTTATTGTAGAGATGATTTTTTGATTTATTGTAGAGATGAGCCAAGTTGCCCAGGCGGGTCTCGAACCTGCGGGCTCAGGCAATCCACTCACCTCAGTCTCCCAAGGCGTGGGATTACAGGCTGAGCCACCGAGCCCAGCTTCTCTCTCCACTTTTACATATGAGTAGACCAAGGGTGCCCAGCTAGAGAGTGGGACTTAGGAGCCAGGGCCCAGGTCACTCACGGCGCACGCGAAGGTAGGTGCCACAGGACTGCTGGTACAGTTTCTCGCCTTCATGGACGCGGCACAGGTATATGCCCCCGTGGCTCTTGTTCACGTTCTGGATGGTCAGCTCGCCCTTGGCTCCCTGGCCCTGGCCCACGAACACAGGCGGCCATGTGTAGTTGCCGTGGAGGACACGCCACCATGTAACGTTGGGTTTACTGCCATTGTGTTCACATGTGAGGAGGGCCTCGTCCCCTATGCTCACCGTCACCGATGGTGGGCCCCTGTGCACCCACAGGGCCTGGCACCCAGGGCCTGCAGAGAGGCAGGGTGGTCAGGGACTGGAGATGGTGACACAGGTCCCCAGCCCTGGCCCCTGCAGCAGGAGCACTCCTGGGTGTGGAGGGAAGGAGAGTGAGCACACTCCTGGGGTGGAGGGGGGAAGGGAGACATTCCTGACTGGGGCTCATACACCTTGGGTGGGGTGGGGGGGTGGAGGGATGGGAGAGGGTGAAGACCTCCTGGGAAAGGACAGAGGACACACATGGTTGGAGTGGGTGAGGACATCCTGGGAGAGGAGATGGGGGTGGGGAGATAACCATGGGGGCCCTTGTCACCTCTGCAGTGCCATCTCTTGCCACCCTCCTGCATACTACTTTACCACTTTGTGACCTGGCCCCCATGAACTCTTTGGCTTTTGAAAACTTGGTTCCCCGGCACTGGGAACCAACGGCAACCCCTTCCAGGACAGATTTGGGCATCACTTCCCCTTGAAGGCCTTTCTGGCCCATTTCCCCACCCCCAGCCTCAGCCAGGCACTTTTTCTTGTGTAATCATCATAAAACCCCGGAAGCAGGGTCTCTCATTATCCCCATTTTACAGGAAGGACAACTGAGGCCCAGGGAGGGCAGGGATTTTGCCCAACATCACCAGGGCTGACTAGGAGTTGAACACTCGGTTCTGCCTGGGACTGAGGAATCAGTCTTTGGCCTGCCTTGGGCTGTGACCCTGTGCCCGTTTCTCATTCTCTATAACTTGTGTGTGTCTTCCTAGGGGTTAGGGGTGAGTTCTGTCCTGAGGTTGGGCTGGGAGTTAGGGAAGGGGGCTCTGCATGGTGGAGATGGGGTGTCTCAGAAAGAGACGGGCCGAAGCCGGGCTCGGTGGCTCAGCCTGTAATCCCACACCTTTGGGAGGCTGAGGTGAGTGGATTGCCTGAGCCCGCGGGTTTGAGACCCGCCTGGGCAGCGAGACCTCATCTCTACAATAAATCAAAAAATCAGCCGGGCATGGTAGCGCATGCCTGTAATTCCGGCTACTCGGAAGGCTGAGACAGAAGGATCGCCGGAGCCCAGCAGGTCGAGGCTGCGGTGCCCAGGAGCGGCCACTGCACTCCAGTCTGGGCGACAGAGTGAGACTCCAACTCAAAAAAAAAAAAAGAAAGAGACAGGTGGCTCTCCAGGGGGCCCATAGTGGCTGGAGACACTAGGAGGAGGGAGGTGAGGAAGAGAGAAGGAGGAAGAGGTGGGGAAAGGGGCCAAGCAACCTCATAGTCACGGGCTTAAGACTCAGACAGATGTGTGCTCCAGTCCCTGCTCCCACTGTCACCTTGAGTGGTGACCTTCTCTGAAATCTGTGGTCAGTGTGGCCACAGCCCCTGCCAGCTAGTCTTGGGCAGGGGAGAGTAGAGGAGGAAGGGGGTGGTTCCCGAGGCATTCCCTCCCTCAGTGCTGAGAAGGGGCTCTCTACACAGTGGGGCAACTGGCTGAGATTTAAGACAGAGAGGGAGAAAGTTTTTCTTCTATCTGGTTTGGATGCTGAATGTCCCCCAAGTCCCCTTCCTGCCTCAGTCCTGGTGCTCAGTCAAGAACGAGTTTAGTTCCTTATTTTGACCTGGGGGGAGGAGAGAGTGGGGGAGGCATCTCTCACTCCTGCCTCCCTCCATGGCGCTGTGGTGTGGACACCCCTTCACCTTCGTTGGGTGCCCTCCAACCGCACCTGGGTCCAGCTTAGGACAGATGTGATTTCTACAGGGGCCTTTCCAGGCTCCCTGTCCTCTGACTTCTTCCGCTCCCTAAGCCCCCTTCCTTCTGCCTGTGCCCTCTCTCCAGCCTCTCCAGTTCGTTCCCCCACCCCCCATATCCCCCAGTACCTGCCTTTTGGCCACTTACCCAGGTAGGCTGCAGATAGCAAGAAGAGGAAGATGGTGACAGGTAGAGCTTGGAGGACTCCTGAACCTCCAGGCATCTTCTCCCAGTGGGTTGGTTAGTCTGAGCCGCAGCAGTCCTGGGGTACCAGATCCCACCCCAAACCCCGCCCCACTTCCTGCCCAGCCCTGCCGGAGATGGGCTCCACTGGCCCTCACTGCTGGGTCCTTTGGTTGTCGGGCCTGGGGACAGCCCCTGTTCGGTACGCTTCAGGCCTTGCGTGGAGAGGAACTGCTCCCTGCACCTGTGGTGGCCACAAGTCCCCTGAGGGGTGGCTGCTTGGGTGGGGGTAGAGGCCAGCTCCAGGCCTGGCTCCTCACTGGTGAGTCTTGGGAAGGAAGCCTGAGGGAGTTTGAGTTCCTTGCCGTGGGCAAGGTAGTGGTTCTGAGTTTGACCTCTACCCTTCCCTGGTCTTGGGCAAATCTTGACCCCTCTTTGACCCCTGCTTCTTCGTTTCTTGGGGTTGTAAACAAGGATATAAAGGGGTTTCTGCATGCACAGCACTGAATATGGCTTGTTAACTCAGTAAATGTTAGTCACTATCAAATGCTTATAATGAATAAATGAAGCAGGTGGACCATGGTCACTTCCCTCCTCCGAGCCTTGGCATTTTTGCTTTGTTTTTGAGTTGGATTCTCACTCTGTTGTCCAGGCTGGAGTGCAGTGGCACAATCACAGCGCACCACAGCCATGACCTTCTGGGCTCAGGTGATCCTTCCACCTCGGCCTCCATAGTAACTGGGACAACAGGTGTGTGGCACCATGCCCGGCTAATTTTTTTTAGTTTTTTGTAGAGATGAGGTCTCGCCATGTTGCCCAGGCTGGTCTTGAACTCCTGGGCTCAAGTGATCCTCCCACCTGGGCCTCCCAAAGTGCTGGGATTACAGATGTGAGCCGCTGCACCAGTTCTCTTGGCATTTTTAATCTGAAAGTCGAGGAACAGAGCATCTCCCTCGCATTGTGATATGATATGGTGTTCCTGACACCAAGGAGTTAGAGCCATAATCAGATCTTTATTGGACTTCTTTTACGTTGGCCACCCACAACTAGGCAGAGTAGGCCATCATTTTACAGTGAAGGAAACTGAAGCCCGTGGTGTAGCGGGGATTCACAATCACATTTTTGTGAGGAAATGAGGTCTGAATGGGAAGGGTTGGGTTGCTAAGATATCTGTGAGTAGTTAGGGGACTCTCTCTCTCTCTCTCAATCTCTCTCTCTCTCTCTCTCTCACACACACATACACACAAAGAGACAGATAGGAAAAAATGCAACCAGGTGCGGTAGCTCACGACTGTGGGAGGCTGAGTTGAGAAGACTGCCTGAGCCCAGGGGTTCAAGATCAGTATGGGCAACTTGGTGAGACCTCGTCTCGTCAATAAATCATAAAATTGGTGGCACACGCCTATAGCACCCTCCAGCTACTTGGAAAGTGAAGGCGGAAGGATCGCCTGAGCCCAGCAAGTTGAGGCTATGGTGCCCTTCCCTTGAGTGTACCATTGCACTCCAGCCTGGGCAACAGAGTGAGATTCCGACTCAAGAAAAAGAAAAAGAAGAAAGAAAGAAAAAAAAATGGATGGCAGGGAAAATTGAGAAACAAAGGAAAAATCCATTTACGGGAAAATGGGTGTATAAATTGTGGTAAAGTCAGCCAACAAAATACCACAGAGTAGGGGAAAGTGACTGGACGGCTGTATCTCAGAAATGACAAGAACATGAGAAAAAAATCTTGTAGCATGATACAGTTGACTTGCTTTCAAAAGGAAAAACAACACTGTGTGCTGCTTAGGGACACATCTGCAGTAGAGGTGTAGACCCAGGCAGGGAGTGACAAGCGCCCAGTTTCTGAGAGGGGTTAACTCTGTGGGACTGAGAAAAGGTACACATAGAGCTTTGCCTGTCTTGGTTTTATTTCCTTGTTACTTTTTTTTGAGAGTTGGTGTCTCACTCTGTCACCCATACTGGAGTGCAGTGGCCGCTCCCAGCCACCGCAGCCTCGACCTGCTGGGCTCCAGCGATCCTTCTGCCTCAGCCTTCCAAGTAGCTGGAACTACAGGCGCACCCTACCACACCTGGCTAGTTTTTTGATTTATTGTAGAGATGAGATCTCGCCAAGTTGCGCAGGTGGGTCTTGAACCCATGGGATCAGGCAATCCACTCACTTCAGCCTCCTAAGGCGCGGGATTACAGGCCGAGCCACCGAGCCTGGCTTCCTTGTTACTTCTTAAACTGGGTGGTAGGTTCAAGGGTTTTTGTTACATTCTTGTAAATAGTGCTTTGTGTGCCTAAAGTATTTCATAATTTTAAAAAAGTGTAACTGTCACCCACACAGAAGAGCATGGGCCTCAAGAGTCTGAGATTTCTGGGTTTACATCTCAGCTCTGCCAACTGATCATCTGAGCCTGTTTCTTCTGCTGTGACATGGGTACAATTTCTCCCCCTCCCCATTTGGTGAGACTAATAATATTCTGCTTACATTTTAGCCCAATACCTAGGACAAAGCGCAGATGTTCTCTTGTTGGGTCCCTTGTGGACAGCAGGTCATTAACCCCTCTGTGCTTCAGTTACTTATTACCGCCTCCCAGGAATAAGCTTGGCTCTAGACCTGGAAGTCCTAGGAATTCACCTCCATCTTTCAGCGGCTGAACCGGTTTCCAGGCTCTCGACTGCCCCCCAGTGGCTGGAGGGGCGCGGCCGCCGGTTGGCAGGTTCATTTGGGCCCCGGCGGCCTGTGCTGGCATCTCCGCCTCCTGCTTACCCAATATCCTTGTCATTGAATTCTCAGGTCAAAACTCTGGAAAGTGTGTGCAACTTCAACGGTCAAAAGAGGAAACTAGGGCCCAGAACGGGGAGCGACTGCCCCCAGCTCTGCTGGGGAATGGAATCCTTTGGGCTTTCTAATTTCCCTCACTTCTGAGGCACAGACCATAGTAGCAAGTGGGCCAAGGGCTGGAGTCAGGTTGCTTGGGTTCAAATGGTTCTGCCACCTCTTAGCCGTGGGACATTCGGCAAATCACCCAACCCTTGACTTAGTTTCCCTAGCTTCAAAATGCTGGTGCTTCTTGGCACCTACTGCACGGGGCTGCTAAAACGATGTTTGCAAGGCATCTGGCACCATGCCTGGCACGTAATAAGCTGTATTATTGAGTTGGGTGTGTCCCTGTTGCCCAGGCTTGAGTGAAGTGGCACACTCATGGGTACCACAGACTATCTGCTGGGCTCAGGCAATCCCTTCAAGTAGCTGGAACTACAGGCTTGCGCCCCCAACCCTAGCTAATCTTTGTACTGAGAGAGGAGGTCTAGCCAAGTTGCCCAGGCTGGTCTCAAACCCCTAGGCTCAGGCAGTTCTCACTTTCACCTCCTAAAGTGCCGAGATTACAAGCATAAGCCACCGCACCCGGCCTGAGTGTTTAAGCATGAATCTTACGGCAATGACAACTTCCAGCTGGGAAGGGTGGCAGCTTCATTCCCTACGGACGTAGGACCCATTGGCCTTGATACTGTTTTAAAACCCCTAGGTCTTAATTGGGGAACACCAGTTGGCTTACATACGAGCAAAGGTGCTCCAAGGTATCCTGACAAATCCCTCAGGAATGTTACACGTGAGAAAGGAACTGAGCAGTACAGCGCACAGGATTAGGGGCAGAAGTGGAATTTAAACCCAAGGCCCAGGCTTGGCATTTCCCATGAAATGGGTCAGATATGAGAAACTGAGATGGGGAAAACCTTGGAAGCCCTGGCCAAACCAGTACAGGCCTAGCATCTTAAGCCCTCCTCGACTGGGAGATCTGGTCACAGCAGATGAAGCACTTTCCAGCCTTGTCCCTACAAAGGTCATATACCTGCCCATGGGCACCATTCGAATCTCCTGCCTCAACCAGGGGGCCCAATTGCAGAGCAGAACTGTGAGAGTTGCAGCCTGCAAGGTACCAGCTAGTGTCTTTGGCACTGCCACAGCCACTGTATCACTCAGGTGGTCCCAAAGTCACTCCTCAGATGTTATCAAGAATCCAGCAGGGCCATTCAGCCTGTTGATACCAATAAAGGAGCCTAAGGGATGCCAGGAAGCCCAAGTCTGGGACCTCTTGCCTTATTTCAAGAGAAGCCGCTCCTGCAGCCCAGGCCCCAGCTGGGGCCACTGCGTAAACCACTCTTTTCGTTTCTCACTTTCTGAGAATTGCAGACAGGAAATGGGGGAGGAGGCACTGGGGCCTGTGGGCCCTTCCCCCAAACGCAGCAGCTGGGACATCTTGCCTGTGGGTGGAGGAAGTGTTTGAACTGGGAAGGCTTGGGGAACCCAAGCACCCCAGTGCATCCTTACACAAGGGAAGGAAGTGCTTCTTCCTCAAGCTCTCAAAGATTAGCCAATCAACAGAGACCCAGACCAGGATTACGAATGAGGCAATTTATTAGTCCAGCATCATTTGTTCTAATGCTTCTTGTTGGCAGCTGCCACCTGTGGAAAACAAACGGAAGAGCAAGGATCCGTCACGGGCCTCTGCAGCACTCTTCCCAGCTACCCCCTATAGAGCATCCCGATTTGTGGCTTCAAATGCAGCCATCTCATCTCATCCTTCAATACCCAACTGTGGTCCTTCCCCATTTTAGACATGTAACCTGGGATGCAAGAGAAGGGAGTGGTGGAACAGGAGTCCAACTTCTGCCCACTGTTGTGAGACGGGAGGGCCACCCATCTGCACAGCTGTCCGTGTCAGGTCCTGCACTGCCTGGAAGAGCTTTCTCCTTCCATCTACCCTTGACTCCCAAAAGGCTTGCACCTTCCATTCCTTTGTGACCCTTGACTGAGCGACTAAATACTCTAAGGCTCCTAGAGGTCTGAGTCAATGATACAGAAAGAAAATCAGCACTGAGCCTAGACTAGGTCTTGGGAGCCCCTACTGTATTGTGGCTCACTGAATCCTACCATTCTTGAGGTAGGCAAGAAAAGGTATCCACAAGTGGGGAGACTGTGGCTTCCAAGGTGAAGATACTTTGCCCCAGGGTGCCAGCCAGCCAGGATTTGGATGGAGACCTAGGTCCTGAACTAGCCATCCATAGCTCCACCTCTTCTAAGTAGCCTCCATCTGATGCCCAGGAAGCCTGAAGAATAGGGCAGAAACACTGCAGCTGGAATCTAAGTAGGCTGGCCTGGGAAAAGGGAGTCATGTGTATGGATGCAGCTATGCGCCTCACATAAGCCCAGCAGCATCATGGACATGGGTTCCCTCCACCCCAGTACCCCAATTTCCAAGCAGCTCCAGCAGGAAAG